AAATTATTGATCGTCGCTCATAGCCAATCAAAATCGAGGATCCTCCGTGAAATTTTGGTGCGGCAGCTAGGTTCAATGTGAAAAGATTTATGATCTTTTGATTCCTGACTTAATCACAAGTATTGAGTGTTAAAGTTTTATTTGATTATATCGAGTACTAGACATAGATATGTTTGGTTACATTCTAATAAATATATGAAATTAAAGATTTTTAAGTTCAGCTACATACTTTTTCTTTGTAATCTTACCTTTTTAGTGAGATACAAATCTTTTTACACCGGCCCATATGAACCTTTGATAAGCTTAGACAATATAAAGCCAGTTACAAATTGCTAATTTAAGATTTATCATTTGTGACAAAATAATTATTTATGTGTTCTTGAATTTTAATTTAGTAAATAGAAAATAAACTTTAAATATTTGACAAATTATATCTTTATTTTTAATATAATATTTCAATATCGACCAAAAAGTTATTTCTAATAGAGTTTTTTGTTGACTAATTCTATTAAATTCAAATGCTAAACACAAAGAAATGACGACTATTATGAATAACTTATAGCTCTTTTTAAATTTGGTACGGTAATTGTAAATTTTAATCATTGCCGATTTGCATCACGAAAGTTCTCCATATGAGTGCCGCCAAGAGAAAACTCGTAAATCTTATTAGACAAGATTTGCGGATTTTTTCTTGGCGAAACACATATCATAGTTACACTGGATATTTTGCATCAATCAGTATTTCCACATTTGGATATTATAAAGATCCTCTTCATCTAGATAAGCTTTTTGCCATGTAATTATGTACGCACATAGTGGCACAAATACGATAAGCATTTCATGATTTCTTTAATATAAAATCAGATCGTGACTGACTTTTGTTCGTTAGGCTAAAAAAAAAACCCGAAGAATCTTGAATGCAATGCCATCAGTTAATGAGAAACAAAACTGTGATGACACAGTATTGCCATTCGAATTAGCTCTTGGTAAAGAACCATTGAATGTTGATGGCGTTGTTAATCAGCAAATGTTGCAAGCACATTTATTGTTATTGAACAAATCAAGGAGCTGGAAAAAAAGAATTATGAGGAAGATATGGTGTAAATAAAAGAATTACGAGTTTAAACTGTTTTTTTTTTTTTTATTAAAGCGTAGAAATTATTTATTCTGTTTCGCTTAGGTACCTATTATGTGCTCAAGACCGATATATTGAATGGTTAAAGATGATAAGCAATTATAAAGATGAAAAGATTGTTCCATTGCCGCCAATTGGTAGCTTTATGTATAAATATATAAATAATTTGTCTATGTAATTATCGTTAACGAACGTTTGTTAACTTTTATAGATGTTGCCTACATATGGCACTCACACATTCTCGCCCCACTAAAATATTATGAAGATTTAAAGCGTGTTCACGATATTTACGGAAATATTGGCAATTTCCCATTGAAAGAACTTGTAAATATAACTATCATATTTAATTTTTTTCTATTAAAATGTAATAATTATTTTTATTACTATATTTTATTATCTATTTAAGTACAATCTTTGGTTGAAAACTGGAGGTATGCATGTCGATCCCATTTCTCAAGAAATATGGGAAAAAAATACTGGTGAACCATGGATATTGGATATTACAAATAAAAAGAGCTTTATTGTGCAATGTCCGTGGTGTCGTCAAGAACAGATATTTTCAACGTAAGTCGTTATTTCTTAACTTGAGTGATCAACTAAAAAGTTCAAATCTTAAGTTCTTTTTCTGTAGTTCTGAGTGGGTAAAGATTATGCGCACTCCAAAACATGTCGAAAAATGCAAGTCTTTTCAATGTCATGCTGATTGGAGTACTGAGACTTTGAGTGCCTACCGGTTCTTAAAAGATGTTAATAATTACATTGCAGATAAAACAAAATTTCTCGGGTAAGTGTTTTTATAACTATATCATTTTATAGACTTTGTTCTGATACAAATACTTTAATAGTGGTACTTTAATCGACTTAACTGGTGAATATTCCCCGAAGCTTTTTGAAACCGAATCCGGTCTAGTTTTTTCTATAAAGTGGGATACTTCCAACTCTACATGCCATTGGTCAAACATTCATAATATTATTGAAGCAAAAATCATGTCTATTGAATCTACTAGTCAACTTACAGCAACTTTACAGAACTTTGTACGTCGTGTAGTCTCTGCATATTCTAGTATTTCTGCTCCGTTTTCCCTTGACCTCGTTTCTGCTGTTTTACGACAACGTAGGTTCACGAACAAAATGGTAGCTAATATCAAAATAAGTCAATGGATTAATAATGTTTCTGTTCAGAATGATGCAATCATTCGGTATTGTAAGTTCATGCATCTCATGAAAGATAGACCAAAAATCCCACTCGCTCCGACGTTAGATATCGATCTTGGATGGCATACGCATATGTTACATGAACAAAATTATCGTGCATGGAACAGAAAATATCTCTTGCGGATAGTTAATCACATAGACACTATTCCGGAGAATGTATGGTATGATGGCCTTGCTGAGACAGGACGTTTATGGGATAAAGAGTATAAAGAGATATTTGTTGATCCAAACTATCCAGAAAGCTGCGCTCAATCTTCCTGCACTGACGGTAGTTGTGGCGGAAATTGCGTCAGCGGTTGTAGTGGCAGTGGTGGTAGTGGTGGTAGTGGTGGTGGTTAATTAAAGTAAATGCAATGAAATTTTCAATTATACAATTCTTGCTTTAAAATTACTGTATTTTCTTGAATTGTTATAAATATCATGTTTTAAAATTACTGTATTTTCTTGAATTGTTATAAATATCATATTTCTTATTACTTATAACCAAGTCTTTATGAATTAGTTCTTTATTTTCTTTATTTTAAATCGTCATCAAGAATGTATTGAGATTATTATTAAAAATATATAACTGCTTATGTGGCAAAATCACTTACAAATCATATTGATCGTATGCATTAGTAAACTTTTTTGTGTATATGAGGAAAGTCAATAAACACAGGTAAATTCTAAGTGATTTTTTTTAAACATTATATAAAACATCTTAACAATTTTAATTATATAAAATAATATACACTATTTGACAGCGAATTTGCACAAAATAACAATCAATTTAGTACAGATGAATATTCAATTTCGTATAAAAAAATAATGATACCTTGTAATCTAATTTGAATAATTTTATACCATTGAATCCTCTCAATAAGATGATTCAAATGGTATCAAGATGATTCAAATTAGATTACAAGTTATCATTATTTTCTT